GAAAGAGTTTAACAACACAGGATGTGACTGGGACTCTAGAACTCATTTCTGCCCTAAAACTAGCAAAATTATGTTACAGAATAACAGCTTCTTTACTTGACAGTGCGCCTTTGTCACCTCCCACTCACATCCTGCACAGAATGAGCGCAGCTCCTGGTATCATTAACATGTGGCTGAAGCAACTACCAGCATCTAATAATTATGTGTTGGCTTACAAGATCTTCCAAAGCTTTACCAAAAAAACTCCACAGTAAGCCAGCCTAACAAAAATTACTTTGGGCTTATAGACTGCAAAGAGCATTTCCACAAATAGCTCTCCTCCGGTTCAGAACCAGTTGAACAAGCTGCTGACAGACAGAAAAAGTGCCGAAAGTCAGGCTGACCTGTTCTCGGCGCCACAGCAACAGCCACCCAACCAGGCAAACTTACAGTGGAGCCATGCAAAATCAGAGCTGCGACTGCAGAGGGAAATGATTGCTACACCTCGCTCTCCCTTGGTGCTCGGGAGTGAGACAAAGCCAAAGAGCATTTCTAACCTCTCTGCTGTTGTTTCTTCTCAGTCAGGAACAGTTATCTGCCAAGTCCTCCTTCATCAGCATCAAGTCTCCATAAAATAAAATCTCCCGCGCTTAGCACTTTTCTTCCCCAGGCCTAGGACACGCCACATCTTCTAACCAAATGCTGGGTTCTTCTCTAGCGGAGAAACTCTCCCTGGAATGAGGAACCATCCTCAGCTCAGGTGATCACGAGAGAAGGGTGAGGAAATACGGGAAACGAAGGAGCAGGTGCCGGTGCAGGCTAGTGACTGTTTTACCTCTTGGACCAGATGGAAACCTTCTGACCACTGGTTATCCCAAAAATTAAAGCAGAGAGCAGCACAGCGATGTGCGCTCCAAGAGGTGCCTTCAAGCAGGTCCAACATACCTCATCATTGCCGGTTTTCTTCCATCTTAACCCTGGGATCTATCTTCCAACTCCTGGGTAGGAGTCAGCGGTGATTAAAGACTCCAGTCCACTTAGTATTCATGAAAAACTTATTTCTCAAATGTTCCAAGAGACACATGCCATTATTAAGATTTGAAATCTTACACCGTTAAAAATAACTGTATTACCATCACACAATGGGTTCAAAGTTCTCTCAGCAGTGAAGGAATGAAGAATTATTCTTCTTCATGTTTATAAACTAATCTGAATTTAATTGAATTCTCAGAGGGGAAGAGAAGTTAAATAAAAGTTCAGCATGGTTAGAATTTTAATAGAAAATAACCCTGTAATTGCTTGATTTCATCAAAATAATTCCTTCAAAGCAGCTTTTACAGCAACCTATAAACATCTGCTCCCCCAGATGGCTGGTTTTCTTCCTCACTTTGCTATCCCAAGCTTCTTAACATGAAAATTGTGTGTGCATGTAGCCACTTCCCAAAGACAGAAACTGCTTTTATTCCCTCACCTCCCAGTTATTTCTTCGTTTTCTGGCTGCAGTACAAAGTTGCTGTGATAACGACATTCTCCGTACGGATGCTTCTGATGTTATCACAAGACAGAGGATGTAAGATGTGCTTTATGCAAATTCTAAGACGTTGCAATTTTCTTTAAAGATACCAACGATAAACGTGCCCTCGGGCTAAAACCAGCGGAATCTCTTTTCATATGAGTTGTAGCCCTTCATGAAGATGAATTCCAGCAGGACTCTCTGCAAGGACCAGTATGGTTTAGGAGGAAGAGGAACAGCTAACAGTGGGGGGAAAACAGATTTGGGGCTAAAAGCAGAAAATATTATAGATATAATATAGATAATATTCTAGATATTAGAAGTTACTAATCTAATTAGATTTGATCACCACAGTAGAGACTTCCTTTCTCTCTCATTGGAAAAAGAGAAGAAAAAACTTAAAATATTTCTAAGCGTATACATGAAGAAAGATATCCGGCTTTTGAAGGAGAGATCAGACAGTTGAACTGTTGTCAGCTGGTGTTATTAAAGTTGTTTTCTTTTTTAATAGGGTTCTTAATTTAAAAGTAGAGACAGAGCTAGAGGAACAGAGGGAAGAACTGACTATGGAAGTATAGTTCCATTACATCAGGACAGTCAAAGAGGACTCTGCACTGCAGGATGAAAATTCCTTTGCAAAGACACTCAAAGATTGCCACTCACAACAGCTGTGAAGAAAGATGATTTTGCTGCCTCAAATCCTCAGGAAAACTGCAGGCAGTAGTATGCTGCCTAGTAAAGCTCCAGCAACAATTTTAATGGGATACTATGAGCCATGAATATTGCCTTGATCCAAGAGCTGACTGGGAAAGGTGTAAGGATGATGGGAATGATCCCAGGAGACTGAGTGAACCATTAATGGGGTTGTACTGCGACGAAAGGGGACCTGAGACATGAAGACAGGCAACTGCAGCATGAAAGTCCAAGTGTGTATCACCAGATGATCAGATTCACCAGTGGGATTCATTTTGCAGCTAAAATACCTGAAATTAGGCAGCTAAAACAGGAGCCTACCTGTGAGCTAAATTTCCTTTTTTTTTTTTTTTAATGAGAACCTGACCAGTGCAGTCAGTGGGGGCTGGGGCGCAGTTCAGGTGGCAGACCAGTATATGCCCGCTTTAGGGTGACATCAGGTTCCTTTAACTGTCCTGATCTCAGTGCAGATGATCTGAATAGAACACAATTTTGGATTCCCAGTGAATATAAAAACATCAACACATAGACACCTACCTTTAGGCATCTAAATCACAAGCTGAATCCCTCCTCCTTGACGTGTAAGACAAGCTACACGTACAAAAGAAAAGGCACTCCAGCAGCATCTCCTCTAAACAATTTTTAAAGTTAATTTCAACCACTTTGCGTGAATTTAGAAGTGCACATACTGCCTTAAACCTGCCTCAGTCAATAAAGCCCACATTTAAGAAACAGACATTAATCTGTGAAATCAGTTCATTAGAGTTGATGCACAGGTGAAAGCAGGTGTTGATTTCTATCCCCAACCTCTGCGCAAGGAGAAGCAGGTGCTGTGGATTTGCATAGCACTGTTGGAGACTGCAAAGAGACACTTCAAATTATTACAATTAAAATTACGTTATTTTCAGCCCTTCCTCAGAAAACCTGATTTCCAAGAACTGAACAAGTCAGATTTCACGCCAAGGCCTCAGGGCCTGATAAACAGCTGCAAATCTGAATTACTTCAAAAGACACAGCCCAGCTCAGCACCCAGGAAGATCTGGCACAGAACTTCAGGTTGAGTAAAACCTTAGCTTGAAAAGTATGCAACAAATAAAAAGACACTGTCTTTCTGGACAATTTTTACTTTTCAAGGATTTTTGAGCTTAATAAGCATGATTTAGGTCAAATTAACCTCCCATGAACCCTTTTCACTCCAATAACATAAAGCTGGAATAGAACGATACGCCAGAGCAAGGAATTACAAAACCAGCTGATTCGGCAGGTGAAAGCACAGGGATGCTCGCACAGGATGAGGAGTTTTCAGTACAGTTGGGAGAATGTTTTTGTGGTATCCCAACACTTACCTAATAGAGACAGGACAGTTCGCTGTACCTGTTGCCTTCATCTCTGTTAATGAATTTTTTTTCTCTCACACTTCACTGGGCATTACAGCATGACAAATTTGGATCTCTGGTCTTTAGAAGCCGCATCTCTTCATCAAAAGTCAGAGAGACTACACTCTGCTCTGCTGCTTGCAATATAGCTGAGGCACTTCAACTTCTGGCAATAAACTTCTCAGTTTATTATTGTCAGCTCCTTGTTAAATTGCCTCTTTGTATTTACTTAACCAAAATTCAGTATTTTATAAGATACCTGAATTGCTGCTCTCGTTTTTCAGCCACCAGCTCTTGTCTCTCTTTCTCTCTCTTCTCTCTCAGTAACTTTGCCCGTTCTCTCATTTTTGCTTGTTTCTCCAGCACTGTTTCTTCAAGTGTCTCCATCTCAGCAAAGTACCTACTTTCCTCTGCCTCCAGAAGCTCACGAAGCCTGTAACGAAAACGTTTAAATAAAAGCTAAAACAATCCTTCTGTTGAACGATAACATTTCAGTTTATTTGTTATAAGTGCAGAATGGGTACTGGCCTCCTTTCAACGCTTCTTGCACATGCCAAAGAAGGGAACATCCCAAGGAACGTCAAATTTTAACCTGGGAATCACTCCTGTTATGCCCATGGAGGGGACACACCAGATCAGGACACCAAACTGACGACCTTCACAGTTCCAAAGCCACTTAACATGAGAGAGTGACTGAAAAATTAAACCATATGATTTTTTTTCTAAGATCATCACAGCACAATTCTCTTCTTTACAAGACGGCAATATGCCTGACCTTTATTATTTTTTACAGACTTCTGACAAATTTTCATGTCTTTCCACTGCCTGTGCTGAAAGTATTACTTGCAGGACCCTAAACCTACGCTTTCTGTTACGATGAATAACAAACACCATGGCACACTGCACAGTGTAGCGCACAGAGCTGAGCTCAGATGAGTGCTTTTCCCATAATCCTTCCTCTCAGCATACAGCTAAGTTGAAAACAGGGCACGTATTGGTATTAGCCACTCGTTTCCTACCTCCCTCGTCTCTCCTCAGTCCCTGCCAGATACTCCTGCATCGTCGCGTCCACCTTTCTCTGCACAGCCCTGTGCTGCCATCTTTGTTCATTGCGTTGGTGCCACTCGTAGACGTGGCGATACTGGTTGTACAGCTTTAAGAAGTTAGCATTTTCAAGGTGTTGCTTTTCTTTTTCTCTGTAGGCAAAGATAAAATTCTCACCTGGCTCTTGGCGAGGCTTGGCTTTCTATAAAAGAAACAATATGTCAGTGGTGAAAATATCATCAGCTATTCTGGGTTGGTTTGGGTTTTATTTGCATTCATGATCAAACAAGTATGTAACACCAAATGATGAGAGTTCAGGGCAATTAATGTGGTGATTCTATGATTCATTGGGGGGTAAATCCCAACAAGCCTTGTCTTGAAGAGCACAACACCAGTACAAGGGCATGAAATGGCTCCAGGTGCCAGGATCTGTGTGTTGCCCAGGCTACAGCTTAACACAGAATGGTCTGGGTTGGAAGGGCCCTTCAAGACCATCCAGTGCCCCCCCCCTGCCATGGGCAGGGACACCTCCCACTAGCCCAGGTTGCCCAAAGCCTCATCCAGGCTGGCCTTGAACCCCTCCAGGGATGGGGCATCCACAGCTTCCCTGGGCAACCTGGGCCACTGCCTCACCACCCTCACAGGGAAGAATTTCCTCACAATATCTCATCTAATCTACCATCTTTCAGCTTCAAACTGTTCCCCCTCGT